GGGGGGTCATCATGCGCCAATTGAAAAAAACCTTTGTTGAACCTTGCATTATAGTATAAGGTCTCATTCAAAAACCATTCATCTCTTGTGTTATGTTAAAGGACCGTCGTAATTGATTTCTACATCCTATTTCCAGTTGAAAAAACTGAAGAAATAGTCAATGTCATGGAACACAACACTGCCACATTTAAACAATCATCATTTCGAAATAACAAATGCAAAACTCTTTCCGTAGGTGCTGATACTTTAATTTTCAACAAGTGTAGTGCATAGTAGATTTCCCGCAAAGTGGGTAGACCTTGGCTCTGTCCCTTCCTCTTCTCTCTCTGTCGTCCGGCTCTCCCCCCGCACCCCGAGTAAATCTCGATAATTGTGGTGAAAAGTGGCCGAGCATCCACAACAGTCAAAGATCGTTTACTACAAAGCGAATACACTTTCGTCTGACCACTGTCGTCACAAAATAAAATGAAATTTTCTCTGTTTAATCTTTTCAGATCTTTCCATACAGGTTTAAAAGTTGGACGACCATGCCAGAATCTAAAAGCTTATTCATAAAAGGTCATTGCAAACTAAGGTTTCGACACATTTTCTCCTTTTACTTCCAGACCGGAACTTACTTCTTGAATGGTGACGAGTTCTCCATTCACCCCATCAGAGGTCTCGGAAATGACGTAGACCACAAGATTTCTCGACTTCTTCAGGATTCTAACCTGCAACATGATATGTTCGACTTTGGTTCAGGTGAGGTCATATGTCAGGGTTTGCAACTCCCTGTGGCTCGTGATGTGACTAACACAAGTGGGGCTTCTTAATTCCTATTAAAAGTTTTTTTATACACCTTTAAGATTTGCACAAGGAAAAAGCAGGAGTTTCAGAAAGTAAAAAAAAAGCAAAAAAACTTTAAGCTATATACACAATACACGACACAAAAGGATCTCTCTCTCTCTCTCTCTCTCTCTCTCTCTCTCTCTCTCTCTCTCTCTCTCTCTCTCTCTCTCTCTCTCCCTCTCTCCCTCTCTCTCTCTCTCTCTTCTTCTTCTTCTTCTTCTTCTTCTTCTTCTTCTTCTTCTTCTTCTTCTTCTTCTTTTTCTTCTTCTTCTTCTTCAATGCCATACCCCATTCAATACTGACGCATATGGATATATTTTAAAAACCTAGACACAAACGAGAATTTACATCAACACAATAAAACAGCTAGAATATTATACAACAGAAAACAATATGGTTTCACAACTACAGTGGAAACGGAAGAGGACAAAAAATCAACTAATTCTGAACAAGCCCTGTTTCAAATTATTTCAACGAAGGATTTCGAATAATCTTTTTGTAAATATATTAGTTGATAAAGTTTCAAAGAATGGTTTTCTTTATAAGAACGTCAAAATTCTTCATGCGTTTTTTTCCAGCATCAATGATAGTTGGAAAATTCATTATCCTCTGTGTTACTCTAACATGAACAAATCTTTGTGGAAAGGCGTTGACAGACATTGTTAATGTTTTTCGTGTAAGTTTTAGGGAGAGTTGTACGGTATTTACAACACAGTGAGGTCACATTAGTGTTGAAGATTAGACTGTTACCTCGTACATATAGATTTAGATAACCTTCTTAGACAATGTCATGGAAGTGTAAAAAAATAACACACAATGGGAAAAAGGGAAATAACTGTCTGCGCCGGTGAGTGTCTTATACAGGTGGCCGTTACACCAGGTTCGTCTTTACACAAACAAACGTTGGTTTTTTTTGGTTTTGTGATGGGTTTTTTTTGTTTTTATAGGCTAGGGAGTTGTTTTTTTTCCTACACCTCACGTCTCCACACGGTGTCCCGTCCCAAAAAAAGGTCACCAACTCTTGCATAAGTGAACTCTCCCCTTCCCTTCCCACTCCCTACCCATTTCCTTCCTCCAATGTTTTCCTGTCCTCACTGGGCAACTGACCAGGGGTCACTTCGTGCCCAAGGCAACAGCTGTATCGGATATCACTTCCTGACGGGCACAGGGCCACTCTCGGCCGGCGTCTTTGTCCCGACAGCAGTAGATAGTATGTGTGGCATCGTGGGGAAATCAGGCGCTCGTCAAGATTATGAGATCTAAGAAACTTATATAATTCATTCATTGAGCTTATTTTCTGAATCTGTTGTCAATATTTTTATTGTTAGCCTATTATT